GGTCATAGACTAGTTGCATGCAGTGGTGTGCACCTGTAGCGCCAGTTCTTCAGAGGCTAAGGCAGGAGGATCACTTGAGTCCAGGAATTTGAGGCCAGCCTGGGCAACAGAGCAAGACCCTGTTTATAAGCTGATTTGCCCCAAACTCTCTGTGCTGTTTTGAAACTTCTATAGTCATGGTCTTTATTTTTATTTTTATTTTTACTTTTTTTGTTATTTTTTTTGAGTTGGAGTTTCACTCTGTCGCCCAGACTGGAGTGCAGCGGCCGCTCCCAGCCACCGCAGCCTCGACCTGCTGGGCTCCGGCGATCCTTCTGTCTCAGCCTTCCAAGTAGCTGGAACTACAGGCGTGCGCTACCACGCCCAGATAATTTTTTTGATTTACTGTAGAGGTGAGGTCTCGCCTGCCCAGGCGGGTCTCGAACCCGCGGGCTCAGGCAATCCACTCACCTCAGACCCCCAAGGCACGGGATTACAGGCTGAACCACCGAGCCCGGCTCTACTCATGGTCTTTTGTCAGCATCTCATTGCTTAAGAAAAGTTGTCACTTCTTGGTTCTCAGCTTCCTTAAATGTCTGTGTTCCTAACTTTTAGGTACACTGTACAGTCCTTCCAAATCTCTCAAGACTTTTTTTTTCTTTTGTTATTGGATATTTTCCCACTTTCTTCCATATAACTATAGGTGATCCTCAAAATTCTGACTTCATGCCTCATCTCTGCTCTGCCAATACTTTTCCCTTTGTATCAGTCATCACCTCACCACAGAAGATGCCCAACTCTACACTTATAGAAAAATTCCTAACCACCTGCTACACGTCTCTAAGACATTTATGTCCACCCCCAAATCAATGTCTTTTTTTCCTGTGTCTTTCCTGTTGCCATTTCCCCATCTAGAGTTCTTTTATGATTTCAGCCTGTTGACATCCTGCTTATATTTTAAGCCTTAAATACAACTTCCAGTTTGAAGCTTATTCAGACCTTTTTAACCACATTTGATAGCTTCATGTTTTGAACTCACATGGCACACTCTGGGTATTCCTAGCTTTTGGAACTGATTTTTACTGCATATATATGTGGGTTTTTCATATAATTATCTTATCCTTACACTATAGTTCACGACTTGCTCACATAATACTATATATCAGGGTGACAAAAAAGTATACATATCTCAAGAGATGTTATCTATGTATTACTTGTATGTGTAGCATGATGTTCACTCATGATGCACACATGCATGATATTAATCAAATGAATGCTAACGTCACCGTGCAACAGGCATTACAGTCAAAGAAAATGATGGAAGCGCAGTTGTTTGAGGAGCGTAAGACCGTTTTGAAGTGGTATTTGAAACTGGAGAATGTTGTGAAAGTACAATGACAATGGAGGCATGAGTATGCAACAGGACCTCCGACACCCCTAAAAATTGTATGCATTCGTTGTAAGTTTGAGATGCATGGTGCTGTGTGTGATGTGCACAAGGGAAGATCCGGGAGGCCTCGCCATCAACAAGTCCTGCAGTGGTTTGCCATTATCAGAAGTGTCTGGATGCTGATGGCACCCACTTTGAGAACCACTTGTCATCGCAGAAGTCAAACGTGATTTGTATTCATTCATCTGTTGTTATCAGTATATATTGAGTATTACAATTTTGATGGTTTTTCCTTTCTTAAAATGTGTGTACATTTTTTTGGCACCCTCTGTATATGCTAGGGATATGTAGCTTTCCCCCTCACTAACAAAGCGGATGATCCTCAAAAGCCACCACCCACTGATGTGAATACACACGGTAGTAAATGGCAAAGCGTGACTCTGCTTTTGTAAAGAAGTATATGGTGAGTGTGGTTATGCACATGTGTCTGGATATCACCTCCCACTGAGAAGAAATGATTCACGTGTGTAGCAACACTAGAAGTCCCCATGCTCTGAGGCCTCTCATGTGAAAGTCCAACCTTCACCCTGATGTCCCTCTCTGATTTTTACCTTGAGGAGTCCTAGAGGAAGGGAGCAGGAAGATTCTCCCTTAATCAGCACTTTTGTATCCCTTCTGCTCAAGTGCCCAATGCTTGAATTTGCTCAAGCCTTTTGTCACAGCCTTTTTCTGTGTGACCGCCAATCTACTCTAGACCACTGAATACTATCCTCTTATCCCTCCCCAGGTATCTGGAAAGGTTGCTATTTCCTTCAGTTTCACGGGGGGAGTTGTAGGTCCCTGGAGCAGTTGGCAAGTGCTTTCTTCTGAGAAGTTATGTCCAATCTACAGCCCACAGGCCACATGTGGTCCAGGATAGTTAGTAATGCAGCACCACAAAATCTTTTAACATCATGTGTTTGTAGCATTTATCTTCTTTGACCACAGGTGCAGTTCTATTTTTTAAGTTCAGAATCATGTCTTTTTCATGACATCACTCTTTGGCAGCACATACATTTGTGAGCTGCTGTTTTCAATTATGAAGCACATGAAGAACAAATTTGGACAAACAATTCTAAAAAGCACCTTGAGAACTCACTAAGAATTGCAACCACTTCCATTGAACCAGACACTGATAGATAAGTTTTACAAAAACAAGGTCAAATTTCTCACTAGTTGCATATTGTTCTCATTTTTTAAAACTTTATAATAAAACTATTGAAAAAGAAGTCTTACTGTGTATGTACTCTAACTATATGTTTTGTTTGTGGCCCAAGACAATTTCTCTTTACTCAGTGTGGCCCAGGGAAGCCAAAAGGTTATTTGATGCAGCCCAGGGAAGCCAAAATGTTGAATCCCCTGTTCTACAGCATAGCTCTCTTTTATCCAGAGCACACAGGTTTTAAAAGGAGAAACTGGGGGAGGGTCAGGAGATAATCAAGTCCAGTCTCACACTCTCCCTCTACCTGGAGCTCAACTTATCTTTTGTTAGAGAACAGCATATCCCTTCTGTATCTCTCTCCAATCTTCTTCCTTCAGTCCAGTCTCTTTCAGGGAGCCTGAATTCATGTGACAGATTCTACAAACTGGAAGCCCATCCACAAGCCAGATTCAAGTTTTCTCCCACAATTCTAGGCTCATGAAGATCAGGTGTATCTGGACTTCTGCTTCGGTGTTCAGAATACTCTCTGATGTTCAGGGGGCTGCACCACCAGAGGCTCACGGACAGCCTAGGTGTCTGGACTGCCTGATGCCACATACAATCCAACAGAGTCTCTGCTCTGATCCACACAAACATGGATTTGCATGCAGAGAAATGCCCATAAGGGTGCACAGAAAAATGCTACTTTTTGAGTACTGATACTTAATTTTAATTTTTTTTGCAAAATTTTTATGAATATGCTTTGACCCTTTGCATTTCCATATGTGTATTAGAATGAAATAGTCAATTTCTACCAAAAAATTCTGACAGTGTGTGTTATTTACATATACAGAAAACCTGAATAAAATCTTCTAGAAAAGAAAACTTGTAACTGAATTTTACTAGAGCACAATATTTTGAATTTTTAGCCCTTTTTTTCTAAAAAAATGATAGTGGTATGACATTTAACAAAGGTGTTTTTTTTCCCCCCTCAAGGGTGTTACAATTTATCAGGCCTATATACCCAATGTTCAATCATGACCAAAGAGAGGTAAAGAATAATATTGATGAAAAGTAGATACCTTACAATCCATCTTAACAACAGACAAAGGATGAAGGTTTACTCTTTTTTTGTCAGGAAGGGAGTCACGTAAAGATCCTACAGTTTGGAGAAGGTTGAAGGGATTGATGCCATCTCTGGTCATTTAGAGGCATCTGATGCTATAACACACACTCCACACAATGTCAGTAGTCTCAATAATACTTTATTGAAAAGAGTAAATTATTCATGTTTGTTAATTTAAAAATTCAGCATACAAACAGCCTATGACTTACTCAAATTTCTTTAGAAACTAAGAATGCTATGTTGTGAGACAACGTATGATTTTGGTTGGTGTGTTTCCTGTATAAGTAAAGACACCAAGAACTACATAAGATGCAATTTACAACTCTTGAGAAGAGACTGAGTTTAATTACATCAGAGAGCAATCTGGGTTTCCTTTATGTTTTAAAATGGCTATGAAAAAATAATTTTAACACCTAACTTCAACCGTATTGCTTTTGGGGTGAGATCTTGTTGACTGGAATGCATCAACTACTAAACAGTCATATTCTAGGAAGATTCTTTGGCAGTTTTGTCCCAACGGACTAGTTAAAGGGCCTAAAGAGCCCAGTTTCATTTGGGTTTTAACTATTGAAAATACAATCCTATTTCTTTGAGAAGACCATGGAATTAAAGAGCTAATAGGTTTTTAAGCTCATCTATGTGCCAGAGAGATGATGATTGCAGCAAAATTCATAATTAGCAACAGGTAACTGACATTTCTGCCTGTTTTCTCTTCCAGCCTAGGCTAGTTCTGTGGGTAACTACTCTGTGTTTTAAAAACAAATGAAGGAATAAGTCTTTCAGGCCAGTGCATTTCAAATTGTAAACAAGGTATTACTGTAGTATAATTGATTATGCCTTTTTGTTCAATCTAATATTTGTAAAAATGCCAGTATGTGTTAATTTTCAAGTGGGCATGTACTTAGAGTCACATTTGAAGTAATCAAGAGGGAGATAGGGTAATTTATTCAGACTTTCTTTTCTAGCTTCCCTTACAGCTGATGTCTTGTCAGTGCAGGATAGTTTATGTTAGTGCACTCAGAGTTATAGAAAATTAAAACCTAGCATGTAGAGTTTGCATAGCTGAGGATTTATGTGAAACTTTTTATAGTTTTTGTTTGCTGATATTTTTGTTCACATTTCAAGTAAAAAAAAAAAGCTTCATTTTTATTCCTTTGCTCATATGAAACTAGAAATTAGGTCTAGATATTAATAAACCTCAAAAGTTTCAAAAATATTTCGTCTATTCATTGTGTACCATAAAAATTAAGGAATATTTGACTCCATTATCTGTAATACTTTTCTTCTTTTTAAGGAGACTGTTGTAACGCTGGAAACAACTAGCCATGTGTAACCCAAGGGCGGTTTGGTTAAGAAGGCTGCAGCTTTTTACCCTATTAACTCAGGCAGCGCTCAAACCAGCAATGCCTCCAGTGATCAAGGACCAGCCTTTCAACATTTTCTGGGCAGCCCCAACAATGTATTGTAACCATTTTTTCAATGTGGATATAAATCTTCAAATATTTAACATTATATCAAATCCATTAGAGACTCAGAGTGGAGCCACAGTTGTCATATTTTATCCAAATGAATTAGGGTATTACCCTTATTTCTTTCAAGGTGGAAAGTCTTTTAATGGAGGAATACCACAGAATGCTAGCCTTTCTAAACACCTCAGGAAAACCGCCAATGACATTGCAAAAGCTGTCCCTTGGTGGAGATCAGAAGCACTTGTTGTTATTGACTGGGAAAGTTGGAAACCCCAATGGGATAGAAATTGGGGCAGTAGAATCATATATAAAAACCACTCCTTAGCCTTCACTAGAAACCACCATCCTGACTGGTCAGAAACGGAAGTGAAAACAGTTGCCCAAAAGGAATTTGAAAATGCTGGAAAGAGTTTTATGAACATTACTCTCACAATGGCTTTAGAAATGAGACCAAAATGTTTATGGGGCTTTTATCTCTATCCAGACTGCTACAATTATGATTACAGGATAAATCCAGAGACATACACAGGTAATTGCCCAAAGGATGAAATTTTCCGCAATGACCAGCTCCTGTGGCTGTGGAAAAAAAGCACAGCACTTTATCCTTCAATATATTTGGATAAAATATTGAAGTCAAGTTTAAACGCTTTGAAATTTGTCCATTATAGAATTAGAGAAGCCGTGAGAATTGCTGAAATGGCTAGACATGACTATATTTTGCCAGTTTTTGTTTTCTCCAGACCATTTTACTTGCATAGTACCGAAGCTCTGTCACAGGTAAGAAAAGTTCAGTCACTGGCATTAAGAATGAAAATCTAGTAAAATGACTATATAAAGCCTAGAAATAAATGTTTTAGAATGTTTGCTTTCCCTTAATAATGAGCTGCTCTTCTACTGTTAAAGGCAAATATTTCCTCAAATGTCAAATCAATTCTGAAACAGTGTTGCTGACAATTAGATGTATACTTAAAACCGTTCGGATGATGATTCTTACCAACTCAGCATTCTCAGGAATTTATGGAGATCACTTGTTAAATTTGAGTTAAATAATGTAACAGGAAGATTAATTTTAATCAGGAAGAAATTTTAGAATCGGGTTCTTAATATGAAAGGGTAGCAGCGATTTTCCATATAAAAACATACAAAATTGAACTTGGAGTAAATTATTAACTACATTTTTTATTCCTGAATTTTTATGTCTTAATTGATTAGGCTAACTGAGAAAACAACACATTCTGTTGATTTTTGTCTTTAGTCTACAATGCAATCTTGTGGTTAATGTCAAGGCATTAAAATTGGTAAATAGACAGATTTTGTCTTTAAACTTGACATAATATGGGAGGCACAGAGAGTTGGAATGAACTTGTTTGGAAGATGAGTTTGCAGACATTGAGTTTGCAGACATTGGAAGTGTTCAAGCTTTACCTGAATTGTCACTTAGGACATTATTGTAAGGGTGCAGTCATTGGATGGGTGCCTAGATAAGAAAACTCTTATCGTCATCCATATCTGAGAGCCAAGAATTCTTTATTCCAGTATCCAACACAGAAACAGGGCTGTTGGATAGACAATGCACAGTCCACTGTCTTAGACACCTTATGTTTGAGATGAAGGCATTAAAAAGTAGTAACAAGTCTTCCTCAAATATTTCAGAATATGATCTATTGATTCAAATATTATTAATTAAACTTGAGATTTTCATCATGACAGGATTACTCAGTATCATTCAAAAGGGAGTGTTTATTCAACAAGTTTAGAAGAAAAATAATTGTATCATCCCAGAAAAAATTTGGATGAACCTCTAATCTAATCTACTAGTAGTAGATTAGTAGTATCTAATCTACTTCCTATCAAAACGTATCTCCTTTCTTACCTGGCCTCTTCAGCACTTTCTGTTGGGCACTTCATACTCAGAAGGAAAACTGCCATTTGGAGACAATATTAATTTCTAGAAAGTTCTTAAGTTCGTTGAGTCAACTTTGCCTCTGAATAATTTCATACCACTAGCTCTAACTCTGCCTTCTGATACAATAACAATAAATCAAATGCTCCTTTCAAAAGTCAGTTCTCGAGATTCTACCAAATCTTCTCAAGTGACAGATCTCTCTTTTCTTTTCTCTTTTGAGAAAAACATCAGGTTATAGTTATTCCTTCAAAATAGGCTGGGCATGGTGGCTCATGCTTGTAATCCCAACACTTTGGGAGGCCAAGGCAGGAAGATTGCTTGAGCCTAGGAGTTCAAGACCAGCCTATGCAATATAGTGAGATCGCGTCTCTCCCCTCCAAAAACCCCAAAACAAAAACACCCCCCCCCCCAATAGCCAGGTGTGGTGACACATGCCTTAGTCCTACCTACTTAGAGACTGAAGTGGGAAACCCGAGTTTGCGGGAACCTGAGTTTGAGGCTGCAGTGAACTGTGATCATGCCACTGTACTCCAGCATGGGTAACAGAATGAGGCCCCAATTTGAAAAAAAATTATTGACAGTCTACATTGTGCCAGGAATAAGCTATTATTAGTAATAACAGTAGAAGATAATAGTTATACATGTGGTCAGGTCATCTTGAGAGAAAATGGGAGACTAAGATGGCCTACAATTTCAAGAATGTCTTATTCATAGACATTTTCAATTTTTGTACTAGTAGACTTTTGAAGTAAATTATGAGATTTTCCCATTTTTCGTACTGTGAGACTTTTGAAGTAAATTATGAGCTAAGAATCACCTCTGAGTTCTACTTCTGAAATCAATAGGACACATACTCTACTCACCAAAATGTATAGAATTACCTGAGTATTATATATGAACTGTTTTAATGCTTTCCTATTGCCTTCTGCTTTTCATATATCTTATTTCAAAAGAATGGATTTTTCTCACCTATTATCTAAATAAGGTAAATTTTCAATGATTTTTTAAATTATAAAGATGTGGGGAGAAAAAGATGTGGGGTACAATTCAGGGTTAAGTATACAAACATTGATTTTGCAGGTACCCCTGTTAATGAGGTATGCCCCTCCCTCCCCTAGCAGTTTCCCTTAACTGCCAATCCCACACCCACTTCACTGAGAGTTTCCCACTACTGCCAATCTCTTTATTATAGTATTATAGATATTCAAGGTCCACTTATGAGTGAGAATATGTGGTACTCTGTTCTTTGTTTCTGTGATGGATCACTGAGTATGATCAACTCTAAATTCATCCAAGTTGTTGCAAAGTCCATATGTTTGTCCTTCTTTATGGCTGCATAATATTCCACTGCGTATATGTACCACATTTTTTTTATCCAGTCCTGCTTTGATGGGCAACATGCTTGGTTCCATGTTTTTGGTATTGTGAATATAACTGCAACAAACATGCATGTGTAGGTATCTTTTTTATAGAATGACTTGAGTTCCTCCGGGTGTATTCCCAATAGGGGAATGGCTGGGTCATATGGAAGTTCAATTTCTAGTTCTTTCAGAAAACGCCACACTGTCTTCCAAAGAGGTTGCACCTAGTTTGCATTCCCACCAGCAGAGTAGAAGCGTTCCTTTTTCTCTACATCCTCACCAGCATCTATTGCTGTTTGTTTTATTAATAATGACCATTCTTTCTGGGGTTAGGTGTTTTCTCAATGTGGGGTTTTGATATGCATTTCTCTCATGAGGCGTGAGGTTGAGCACTTTTTCATGTGTCTGTTGGGTGCCCATATATCTTTTGAGAAGTGTCTATTCATGTCTTTTGTCCACTTTTTAATGGGGTTGTTTGTTTTTTCCCTTTCGGTGCATTTGAGTTTCTTGTAGATCCTAGATGTTAGACCTTTGTCAGATATACAGTTGGTAGATTTTTTTTCCCATTCTGTGGTTTGTTTCCCTGCTCTCTTGATAGTTTCTTTTGCTTTGCAGAAGCTTGTTAATTTGATGAGGTCCCATCTGTCTATCTTATTTCTTAAGGTATGGGCATTTAGAGTTCTGAATAGGAATTGATTGCCAGTTCCAATTTCCATAAGGGTGTCTCCTGCATTTTCTAAGATACTTACAGCTTGAGGTTTTACATGTAGGTCTTTGATCCATTTAGAGTTAATTTTTGTGTATGGTGATAGGTAGGGGTCCTGTTTCAATCTTCTGCATGTGATCATCCAGTTTTCCCAGCACCATTTACTGAATAAGTTCTCCTCTCCCTGGTGGTTGTTGTTGGAGGCTTTGTCAAAGATGAATTGGTTGAGAAATTGAGGCTTTGCTTCTGGAATCTCTAGCCTATTCCATTGGTCTATGTGCCTGTTCTTGTACCAATACCAGGCTGTTTTGATTACAGTAACCTTATAATAAAGTTTCAAGTCTGGAAGTGTGATACCTCCTGCTTTGTTTCTTTTTACTAAGGATTGTTTTGGCTATTCGTGGTCATTTATGTTTCCATATGAATTTCTGTATTGTCATTTCCAGGTCTGAGAAGAGTGCTGTTGGTAACTTAATGGGTATTGCGTTGAATCTGTAGATTGTCTTTGGTAGGATGGACATTTTAACAAAGTTGATTCTTCCTATCTAAGAGGATGGAATATTTTTCCATTTGTGTGTGTCTTCTTGGATTTCTTTGAGCAGTGTTTTGTAGTCTTCATTGTAAAGGTCTTTCACTTCTCTGGTTAGGAAGGTGCCGAGGTATTTCAAATTTTTTTTTGTGTGTGTGGCTATTGTGAATGGGTTTGTGCTTTTTATTTGGGTCTCTGACCGCTTATTGTTGGTGTATAGGAAAGTGACTGTCTTTTGCACACTTATTTTGTACCCTGAGTCTTTGCCAAAGTTCTTTATCAGTGCAGGCAGGTTTTTGGCAGATTGTCTTGGAGTTTCAAGGTATAAGATCACATCATCAGCAAAGAGGGATAACTTGACTTCCTCTTTTCTTATTTGGATACACTTGATTTCCTCCTCTTGTCTAATTGCCCTAGCTAGGACTTCCAACATAATGTTGAACAAGAAGTGTGAGAATGGGCAGCCTTGTCTTGTTCAGGTTTTCAGGGGAAATGTTTTAATTTTCTGTCCATTTAGCAATATGTTAGCTGTGGATTTATTGTAGATGGCACTTACTATATCGAGGTATGTTCTTTCTATATCTAGGTGTTTGAGGGTTTTTATCAAGAAGGGGTGCTGGATTTTATCAAAAGCTTTTTCTGCATCTAACGATATAGTCATGTGGTTCTTGTTTTTACATCTATTGATGTATTTAATTACATTTATAGTCTTGCAAATGTTGAACCAACCCTGCATCCTGGGAATGAAGCCTACTTGGTCGTAGTGAATGATTTTTGAGATGTGTTTTTGGATTCGATTTGCTAGAATCATATTGAAGATTTTTGCATCTGTGTTCAAAGGGATATTGCCCTGTAGTTCTCTTTTTTTTTTTTGCTGGATCTTTACCCAGTTTGGGTATCAGTGTGATGTTAGCTTTGTAAAATGATTTGGGGAGAATTCCATCCTTCTCAATTGCCTGAAATACTTTCAATAGGATTGGTATCAGCTTCTCTTTGTATGTTAGGTAGAATTTAGCTGGAAATCCATCGGTCCAGGGCTTTTTTTTGTAGGTAGATTTTGTATGACAGAGTCAATTTCCTGGGTTGTTATTTGTCTATTTAGAGTTTCAATGTCTTCTTGTGTCAACCTGGGGAGGCTGTGTGATGACACAAAGTCCTCCACTTCATTTAGGTTATCAAGTTTGTTTCCATATAGGTGTAATCTCTGATAATTTTGTATTTCTTTGGGGTCAGTTTTGATTTGATTTTTTTGTATTTCTGATTGTGCTCATTTGG